AGATCCACATCTTGATTGTAACTCAAGCAAATTTGGACTGAATAAGTTGAAGCATGTTTGTTCTACAAAAGTTTTAGTGAGCAGTGTGCTAGGCGGAAATGTGATTTTGGTGCAGTGGTGCCAAAAGTGGCTAAATTATGCACAAAATAAATGTTTTCCACTCATAAAAGGGAATCTTGCCAAACCAATATGCTGATTTATATAATTGGAGACCTTCTACATAAGGCAAAGCCTTTGCTCCTAAAATTAAGCCACTGTTTAATTGAAATTTACCATTGAACACACAATATCACCAAACTTTTAGAAAATAATAACATAGAAAGCATATTGTAACACATGCCAGTTACATCTGAAATGGCCGCACAATTACCTCTGACAGCTCCTTGGAAAGGTCTGAGCCTCTAGTTTCTAATTAGGGGGTGTGGCTAAAAATGAATACCTGCTGTTGCATTACTACCGCAAAGTCACACATGTCAGGTGGTATCTCATTTTATTTGTTTAAACCGCTATAAAACAAAAGTATTTGTGAAAAAATTATTTTGAAACCTGTTTTAGAAATTTTAAAGCCCCATTTTGAAAGGCATGTGGATGAAACACCATGTGACTGTGTTTTGGCTATTTCTATAAATAGATCAACATAAGCAGGTGTCAGGTGGGGGATTAAAGTTTCCCTAAGGTGAGTATTCTCTTTTGCATGCAAGCTTTTTAATTTTAGTGTTACTTTTATCATACTTTATCCTTGATTATATCCTTAAAATGGATTATACCACCGGAGGTAGAGTACACTGTTCTGTCATGCATTCTTTATATACTTTAAAACATGGTTTCATATATTATTTGTCAAAAAAATATTTGAGATGTTTTTTCTGCATAATTTATTTTTCAAATATTTTTAAACTTGTATTATTTACTAGATTTTGGTATTTAAGAACAAAAAAATGTAAATAACTTTATATTGTGATATGTCTGATTTATGTCATTCAGTAATCCATTTACTTAGCTTACTTGAGTAGCTTTTCTTACAAGTACTTTTTAACCTTTCTTAGTTGAGTACTTTATTATACAGCTACTTTTTACTTTTAGTCGAGTGGAAGTATGCTGAAGTAGTGCTACTTTTACTGGAGTAAATTTTTTGGCATTCTACCCACTTCTGATATTGGCACTGGAACTTTATAATTTGTTTAAAAGGCAGTATTGTTACTGCACTAGGTAGGACAAACTGCCTCTGGGTTGGCCCGTTGAACACCTTGGGTTCTCCCTAGAAAGAATTGGAGGAGATGTTGGGGGCGGTCAAGGGGGTATGGTGGTCTGGGGAGATGGCAACCACCGAGATGGCACAAGGAAAGCTGCAACAGCCAAATACCTGTAATGATGAGAAGTTTACCTAAAGAGGAAATTCAGGCCACTGATGTTAAAACTCAAACGCTAATCACAATGCAAGGTGGATTCCATCCCAAAAGGCCACAAGGGATGAAGGGATTAGTAAATGTCTCAGACAGTGGAAGCCACAAATGAAAGAACTGGAGGAACCATCAAGAGAGGAAAATAAAAAAACCTGCATGGTATGTACCACCGACAGCTAGCTGAAGTGGCCGATATGAAAAAATCCTACCAATGGCTAGATAGGGCCAGCTGAAGCACAGCATGGAAGCACTGATCATGGCAGCGTAGGAGCAAGCCTTGAGCACCGGAGCAATAGAGACCCAGATCTACCATAGCAGACAAGATCCCAGGTGCAGACTTTGCCCCAGAAACAATCCACCATCTCACAGCAGGGTGTAAGATCCTTTCAGGAGAACAATACATGGAACATCATAAGCAGATGGCTGGTATAGTGTAGAGAAACATATGTGTAGAATAGAAACTTGATACCCCCAGGTCAAAATGGCAGCAACCAATAACCCTGACCCTGTGGGACTTCCAGACACAAACAGACAAAATGGTTGCAGCCAACTAACCGACCAGACATTGTGATCATTGATAAGCGGCAGAGGACAGCCATAGTGATCAATGTGGCCAGTCCCAAATGATGGAAACATCACACAAAAAATAAAAGAAGAAAATGGAAAAATACCAAGGCCTCAGGAAAGAACTGTAGAGTCTGGAAGGTAACAGCATCTGTAATGCCCTTGTTCATTTTAACCACGACAGCTTTTGCTTCAACAGATACCTGGATAAATATGAGAGATCTAAGTCCAGAAATGCTATATATATATATATATATATATATATATATATATATATATATATATATATATATATATATATATATATATATATATATATATATATATATATATCCCTCAGGGATATACCTGAGGGATCCCTCAAAGGGTACAGTCCCATCCAACTATCGGCCAATAACCTGCCTCTCCACGACGTGGAAGCTCATGTCCAGGATCATAGCAGATAAGAAAAGCAGGCACATGGATCAATACATGAGCACAGCTCAGATGAGAATCGGTAAATATACCAGAGGTGCAAACATCAGCTCCTGGTAGCTGCAAAACCTGAAACACTAACCTAAACATTGTCTGAATTGATTATAAGAAAGCCTTCAACGCAATGCCACACACTTGGATCATCGATGGTTTGGAGCTAAACAACATCAACAGAACTCTAAGAGCCTTCATTGCAAACTTAATGAGGTTGTGGAAAGCCACCCTTGAGGCCAGTGGGAAGACACCTGCACAAGTCTCCATCAAATGTGGCATATACCAAGGAGATGTGCTGTCCCCACTGCTGTTCTGCATAGGCCTGAACCCCCTCAGCCAAATAATCAACAAGACTGGCTACGGATACCGACTCAGGAACGGGGCCGCCATCAGTCACCTCCTCTACATGGATGACATCAAGTTGTACGCTAAGAATGAGCGAGACATCGACTCACTGATCCATACCACCCAGATCTACAGCACAGACATTGGGATGTCATTCGGACTAAAGAAGTGTGGTCGGATGGTGACTAAGAGAGGAAGGTAGTCCACACAGAGGGGGTCTCCTTCCCAGAAGAAACAATAGCAGACATTCAGAACAGCTATAAGTACCTTGGAATCCCACAAGCAAATGGCAACCTCGAAGAGGTAACAAGGAAAGTGGCTACAGCCAAATACCTCCAACAAGTAAGGCAGGTCCTAAGGAACCATCTCAATGACAAGAATAAGTCTTGGGCAATAAATAGCAATCCTCTGCCAGTAATCAGATACCTTGAAGGAATAATAAGCTGGCCAAAGGAGGAGATAGAGGCCACAGGTGTTAAGACACTAAAGCTCCCAACCAAATCCAGCACCCTGAGACTGTACGCTAGCCGCAAGGAAGAAGGCAGAGGACTAGTGAGTAAGGAAAAGGCTCCAACAGATGATGTGCTCAATGAATGTTTTAGATAATGAGGAACAGAAGATGACGTGCTGGTGGTTCCATCATGGGAGGATAAGCCCCTATACAGGATGTACAACTAAAACATAACCAAAGTGGAGGATATCAGGACATCCTATCAATGGCTAGACAAAGCTGGACTGAAAGACAGCATAGAGGCACTCATCACCAGAGCGATAAAGGCCCAGATCTACCACACCAGACAAAACCCCAGGTGCAGACTGTGCAAAGAGGCTCCAGAGACAATCCAGCACATAACTGCAGGGTGCAAGAGGCTGGCAGGGAAAGCTTACATGGAGCGCCATAACCAAGTGGCTGGAGTGGTGTAGAGGACCATCTGTGCAGAGTATAGGCTGGAAACCCTAAGATAAAAGTGGGAAACACCTCCAGAGATGGTAGCAAATTACCGAGCCAAGATCCTATGGGATTTCCAGATACAGACGGACCAAACGGTAATGGCGAACCAACTGGACATTGTGGAGGAAAGCCGTTGTGGTTGACATAGCAATGCCAAGTGACTGCAACATCAGGAAAAAAGAACATGAAAAACTAGAGAAATACCAGGGGCTCAAAGAAGAGCTGGAGAAAACCTGTAAGGTCAAGGCATCAGTGGTGCCCGTGGTCATTGGGTGATCCCCAAACTTGAAGAGTGGTTAACGCGGATCCCTGGAAATACATCAGATATTTCGCGTCCAGAAGAGGGCAGTTCTAGGAACAGCAAAGATACTGCGCAGAACCCTCAAGATCCCAGGCCTCTGGTAGAGGACCCGAGCTTGGATGAAAAAGGGGAGAGACCGCCGGCGGTGGAGGAGGAAGAGTTTTATGTAAATATACCTATATATATATATATATATATATATATATATATATATATATATATATATATATATATATAGTGTGAGTGTGTGTTTGTAGGCTAAAAGCACAAAGTGCCAATGATGATATTCTAAACTTTTTAAAAAATGCTATATGTTGAAATTATGATGGGGCAGACTGAAGTCACAGAAGAAACATCCACCCCTAAAACACACATAAGGATAAATATTTTCTGTCTTCCTTTATATATGACATGGACAACTGCACTTTATTCAGAAGCAATATTAAATAAGTAGTGTGATAACAATTAGGATAAAGTTACCAGTTTCCCGTTAGAGTAAGACCTTGTTAATTTTATTTCATTCATTCCTGAATTATGGTTTTATTTCTTTAACGACAGGTGACACTTTAAGCGAGGCAGTTTGGAAGAGGGGAACTTCTTTTATCCGTCATATCAGGTTTGTATTTATAGGGTCAGAGGAATTATAACGGAAAGACGCATTTATTCCGAGATCTGAATCATCGTTTACGCACGCGCAGCAACGATCACCTGCAAGTTTCCAGGAATCACATCGCTAAAACCGGAAGTTGATTGTGTCAATTTCAAAATAAATGCGAACATTGAAGTTTGCGGCTAATCAAAAATACGTCCTACTCTTTTATTTGCTGGCGAATGTTTTTTAATAGGCGAAAATATATATATATAAAATTACATTTAAGGCATAGCGGAAGCAGGAATTTGATTCGTAATTCCTTTGACCTTAATTTGAACTTTCCACCGGAAGTTGCTGTGGGTTTCTTGACCTTATTTGACGCCGTTAAGAGGAATAATTCAGAGTTTGAGGTGACTGCCGCTGCTAGGCACCGGTGAGTAAATTAGTTCTAATCTTTGTGATACTCTGAGCTTCTAAGTTACCAAGGTAAATGAAAACTCATCATTTTGGAGGATTGCAAACCATTTCTGACTGCTTATCCGTTATTCCAGTTAACAGACTCGCCACTTGAGAGCCAGTATCATCGCATGGAGTAGCCCCCTTTACACCAGCAGCACCACTGGATGAACTGCCTTTGTCTCTCGCCTTGTTAAACAGGTAAAAGGTCTGGTTTTGGGGTTTATATAATTATGAATGGACTGGTTAACGGTGGTGGTACTGAAGTTACTCATCATAGCCGCTAGCAGCGGTGGCAGCCACCATGGTCATTTAATGAGGCAATCAAACACTTTGAAATAAACCTCAAAAACCGACTAAAGCAGACAAGATTGTAAGAGGTCGCTTCCTGATGGCTCACTGGAACAAAAGCAGCCTTACTATTAACAATGAAATAAAAATAATGCAACCATTTTTGGCATTTACTTCATCATATGAAGTTACTTTAACACAATTGTTTCATGTTATCAGGGTATGAAATAAAACAATTGTGTAAAAGTATCTAAATATGATTTTATGCCAAAAATGGTTGCATTTTTTCAGTGTAGGGGCAGTTTCACTCTTTCCATTTTGAAAGATCAGCAAAGTAGTTATAAAACACAGGAATCTGAATGAAAACCATATAGCTTTCGTTGAGAGGAGGGGAAAAAATAAATGCCTGGCAACTTTAAAATATTTCTTTCATTATAGTGATTTGATGTATTAAAACAATTTAAAGCTATGCATAGTAAACTATTTAAGAATCTTTTACTGTTATACTCATTAAAGCAACCATTTGCCTTCAAGTCATCTAATTAGTAAATGCAATTCATCTGTGTGTAAATCAAACTCTGCAGGTGCGGCTTTTCACCTAGCTAGGGATAACATTTATTATATTATATATATTACCAAAGTTTCAAATTAAGGTATGGAAAAGTGATGGAGTTTCAGTGTATACAGGAGAAATGCTAGCTTTGCTTTTAGCAGTTCAATGGGTGGAAGAGGTAAGACCATTAGAATTTATCATTTGTTCAGATTCTAGTTCGTCATTAGTCAGTTTGCAAAATAATCAGTCACACAGTAGGCCAGATATATTAATTGAAATACAACAAACACTTTACAGAATAAATATGATGCAGCTAGTTGTAAATTTTGTTTGGGTTCCAGCACATAATGTGATTAAGGGAAATGAAATTGCTGACAGCATGGCTAAGGAGAGTACAAATAAGGCAAGGATAGATATTAATGTTATAGTATAACAGAAATAAAGGGTATAATTAAACAAAAACAAAAGAGAGGTGGCAAAAGTTATGGGAAGAAGAAAAGAAAGGTAGGTGGTTCTGTATAATCCAAAAGAAGTGGACAAATTAGAAGAACAGAAAAAAAAAACTGGAGAGAAGAGAATTATTTCAAGACTTTGAATAGGATACACAGGATTGATTAGGTCATCATTTTTAATAGGGAAACATCAGACAGGGAATATCTTAGTGACTGTGGGGAAGATGAGAAGGTGGGACATGTTATTTTGAGTTGTAGGAAATATCTGATTCAGAGAAACAAGTTAATTAGGAAACTTAGTAATACGAAAATTAAACTTGACATTGTTGATTTACTGCAAAAGGAATCAGGAAGAAGAGGACATTGGGTTAAATTTGAGTTTTTTAAACAGATTAAATTATTTAACAGGATTATATATATCCTGTTAAACAATTTAATCTGTGTGTATATATATATATATATATATATGTATATATAGTTTAATATGCATAGCTTTATATTGTTTTGTTACATGAAATTACTATAATGAAAGAGAAATTTTGAAGTAGCCAGGTATCTTTTTTCATCCTCTTACCAAAAGCTTAATGGTTTTCATTCAGATTTCTGTGTTTTTTAACTATTTTGCTGATATTTCAAAATGGACAGAGTGAAACTGCCCCCACACTGAAAAAATGCAGCCATTTTTGGCATTTACTTCATCATATTTATTTTTTTTACCCTGATAACATGAAACAATTTTGTTAAAGTAACTTGATATGATCAAGTAAATGCCAAAAAAAAAAAGATATATATATATTAGGGATGGGACGATTTATGAAAACGTCCGAATCGTTCGGTTAGACTGTCTCGGTTCGATTCGCGTGTGTTTCGTTCGGTTCATGCACTGCTCCTTTTTTCTCATAGGCGAAGCGATTACACTCCAGAGCAGAAGGTGGCGGTACTGCGACCAAAGCCAACCAACAGTAGTAAACAAGAAGAAGAAGAAGCGAAGCAGCTTAGCCGGGTGTAGCAGGGAAAAAAATCAGTTGTTGTGGAGAATTGTGTCGGAATGGCGAGTGGGAAAGAACAGGAGTTTGAAGACGCGCCAGCAGCACTTTATAGGTCTGCTGTATGGGACCACTTTGCATTTAGAGTGACCTACGATGACGGCGGAAAGAAAGTTGTGGATAAAAGTGCAACAGTGTGCAAGCATTGTGCAACACCTTTTGTTTATGCTAACAGCAACATGACCAACATGTCATGCTAACCCCGAAATCCCTCATACTCCGTCAGCGCTCCGCCCCGCTGCGCTCCAGACCACCTGCTCAAAGCAAAGCCTACATCCTCCACTGTGGCTCCCGTCCGCTCCCCTCTGAGTTTTTTGGAGATGGTAGAGAGCATGCGCGAGATGATTAAATTAAAACGGCAAAACATACGAAAAATGATCCAGGGTTTCCGCGGATGATTTAAAATAATTACAATCCATTATTTTTGGGGGGATTTTTTCATTAATTCCATAAATTTTTATGGGATTTCGGTGTAACAATCAACATATACCGAATCGAACCGAAAACCGTGACCAGAAACCGTGAAACGAACCGAACCGTGGATTTTGTGAACCGTTCCACCACCATATATATATATATATATATATATATTGTTTAATTACATCATGGAGATCCATCAGGGAAGCAGCCTAAAGGTAACATTGTAGGAGCTGCAGAGATGGAAAAAAGTCTGTTTACAGGACAACTATTAGTTGTTTTCCCTTCTCAAATGTATTGGAGAGTTCTTGGAAGAATGTCATCTGAAATGTTCTAAAAGCCATGAAGGTGACACAGCAAAGGTATGGGACAAAAACCACATTTACATTAATCTAAAAAAAATCTTGAAGCTATATTTGTTTGATTATTTACATCATAACTTTGAATTGCCAGAAAATATCATCTGAGCAGTTTAATGAATTTAAGTTGATCTGTAAGGTCTACTTAAATTGTGTTTTTATTTCTTTTTATTACTAGTATGTGTCCTCATGAACCAATAAGTTATAGCATTTAGAATTTTGTTTTACTTTAGCCCTTTTAAATATTGCTGTAAATCCTTTGCCCATTTTGTACCTTTCATATTTTTAACCTTTTATTAAACTTAATGCAAAAACCGTTACTAAACTGTAAATAGTTGAACAGATGAACTGCCCTAGCATCTGTTTGTGTATAGTATGATGCTCCTGGCTTTTTGCCAGTTAACCCAGAGGATATTTGTTGTTAAGCACAACTAAACTGTTTTATTAAAACATAAATGAGGGAGCTGCAGTGGCAAAGGGGTAAACTGACCCATGTAGTCCTTGATGTGTCCCTGATGGGTTTTGAGTCCTGCATCTACCATTTTGCCATCCGATAATTATACATCCATAGATGCCAAAGAACTCTTTAAGAAGAAATAAACCCTGATTTGAATTTTATTGAGATCCCATTTTACCAGGGGAAACAAACTTAAAATGAACATTTAAATGAATATGAAAGCTCAAATATTTGAAAATGTGGACAAACCATTATTCCTTTAACCATCATTGCAAAGTTTGGCTGGAAAAACTGTCATTTTTCAGTTCCTGCTGTCTATTTTGATCAGTTTTGCTAATTAATTTCTTACAGCCACTTTCATAAGCTCCCATTTGGATTGTCTTCATTACCGAACCATTAAAATAGAGGCTCTTGTTTATTTTGTCCAACAAAATGGGAATCTTTAGGATCCAGAGTACTGAGAAGGCCAGAGGTTTCTGAAGGGGCTATCTCTCTTAGAGTCGTAGGGAAACGGCCGTTCCAACCGTTGCATTTCCGAATTCTCCCGAGTGGGGCACGACTTTACACTAGCGAATAAAGTGAATGTTTTTGGTCATTTATCCATTGTTGTGGCGGTTGGTCCGAAAGCAAGATTTGTTGTGTCCGGTGTCTCGGAAGCATCTTGCTAACCAGTTAACAACTTAGTGCTAGTAGGTTCCCAATGGGAAATTACATTGGGACCAAGTAGCACTCAGCAACGACACTGTCAAGAAATGCTATGGACAGCGGAAACATGCAAGAGGAGGAGAGTTTTGTGTTTGTAGGAGTCTCCTCCGTCATACATTTTTTATTTAGAGGAGGAAAGCGGGGATGAAGTTGTTGTGGAAGAGGACGCCAGGGCGGCAGAAGCTTCGTTTCTTGTAGAAGGCTTACAGCTGTACATGTTTGAGCCTTTGCCTCATAACGCTGCCAGTTCTGTTAACTTTACACCTGCCGAAGACACAGACGTGCATCCCCGTGAACACTGGGATGGAACTCAATGGTAAAGTAAATAATTCTTATTTCAACCGTTGCGTATATTAGCTGCGACATATGAATCAAGATGCTATGACAGAAAAGATTTGATTGACAGATTACCGTTGATATATGGTTAGATGACTGGCCCCTAAAGTCAATACGACAGTACAAACTGTCCCAACCCAACCGAGCTGTACCATTATTTTATGGAACTATTTATGGTTCAGTTCAATGTGACGTTTGATAATGGAAACACCAAAAATACAGAGCCAGACCAGATTTGACTGCACCAAACCACTCAGTGGAAACAAGCTGTATTTGAATTAATAAAAGTTGAATGTGGCCTCTTGATTTTTATTTTACCATACTGAACTGTTCCTCTGGTATCCAAGAAGACTGTTTTCAGTAATGATGTCAAACAAAATGTTGTAAAAAGGGAATTTGTAAATGAGAAACTGGGATCTCTGTACCAAACCTGGTTCCTACGTTAAGTTTCAGTATAAATCCCACTAATCAAGCCCCATTTACCTAAAGGTCTTTAGAAAGGTTAAAAGCCTTCTTTAAAAAAAAAAAGGGGATGTCGCTTAAGTTACCAAGTTATAATTACTGAGGCACAACCTGTATAGATGA